GTGTGCTCTTCCGATCTTCAGTTTTATCTGCTTTACCTGCCCATGAGGTCCGGTGCGGTTATTATGGGACACTCTGTATATATATATATATATATATACATACAGGGTGTCCCATTTTAATTGATCATTTCAAATATCTTTTGAATAGTGCATTTTAGGGAAAATGTTTCAGACAAAAGTTTTGGGATTTCAAGGGGGACATAAGATGATAACATTTGACCCTGAGTGGCGTTGTCAAGATCAAGACAAGGTCACTTTGAATGTTTTAAATGGAACTCCCCAGTTTCATTACATATTCTTGTAGCACACCTCAGTAGCTTTCCAAAACGCTATAATAAAGTTACTTTTCAGTAAATACTTTCTAAGTTATAAAGCTTGAAAATTACAGTACCGTCGACATTGTTGAGTTGGTAACTCTGGACGATCTGCACGACAACGCACATGACGGCCGCGCATGAACTAACGGGTCGTAGACTTCGCGAACGTTCTTTATAACGTACTACTTTACAACGTTCTGTGCTTTAGCGGTAAATTATATGCAATACGTACAGTTCATTTCATTCATTTATCTGTTTATTATTCCATATAAACGAAATATCGTCTTAACCTGAGTCTACTCGAAAGTGCCTACTTATTCTATCATAGCTCTTAACAGACATTAGCATTATCCAATCCGATAGACGGACACCTCGAGCATACTTCGAGAGCTTTCCAAAACACTATTTTATTAAATATTTTTTGAATTAAAAAGCTTCAAAGTTACAATATTGTTGGCATTAGCATTGACACTCAAGGTGTTCGACCGACGGCTAAAATTTTTTAAATGTTGTTCAGAGCCATTATCTTGACAACATTTGTCAAAGTCAAGACGATTGGATACGATCTTGCTTTAAGTGGCTGGATTATCAATGGTCTGGTTTTAAATTAATAGATCATCAATCAACGACTTTACCTCTAGTTTAGAAGGTATTATTTTGACATAAAAAACATCCATCGTGACCCTTATGACTTTTTGGGATTAATCGAGCCGCATGTTACCCCATTTTTTTAAATTATTTTCATTTTGATAGTAAATTGAAATAATGAAAATACGAGGAACTACTTCCAATTGGATTGACCTTGACAAATGTTGTCAAGATCAAGGCCCTGAACAACATTCAAAAAGGTTATCCGTCGGTCAAATACCTGGGTATCAATGTTAATGCCAACAATATTGTAACTTTGAAGCCTTTTAACTCGAAAAATATTTAATGAAATAGTGTTTTGGAAAGTTCTCGAGGTATGTTATGCTCGAGATATGCTCGAGATGTCCTATCGGACTCCTTTGATAATGCTGATGTCGACGGTACTGTAACTTTCAAGCTTCATAACATGAAAAGTATTTATTGAAAAATAACTTTATTACAGCGATTTGGAAAGCTTTCGAGGTATGCTAGAAGAATATGTAATGAAACATGAGGAATTCCGTTTAAAAAATTCAAAGTGACTTTGTCCTGACCTTGACGACGCCACTCAGGGTCAAACCAATGTTATCATCTTATGTCCTCCTCAAAGTCCCAAAACTTTTTTCTGAAACATTTTTTCTTAAAATGTACTGTTCAAGAGAAAATTTGGGGTGATCGATTAAAATGGAACACCCTGTATAGGATGATTCAAAATAAACGTTTGTCCTTAAAATGTTATATTTCTAACTTAACTTTGAAACGATTTTTCCTTTACCAAAATTTTGTCCGAGGCTGAGTTTTAAATTATAAGGAGAATTAGTAAGCGAATTACGCGTAGGGAAAGTAGACAGGGACGGCGCAACTTACTGTCCGACACAGGGACTCTCACAATATCACTGACTACACGTACGCTGACTATACACATGCAATTACATTCTCTCTCTCTCTCTCACACATACACACGCACGCACGCACGCACGCACACACACACACGCACGCACACAATTACCTTGTAAAGAGTCGATGACTTCTTGAACTTCTTGAGAAAACCGTATAAATTTCAATTTCGATGGACCACGTATAGCTCGAAATAAGTGTTTATTTTAACAAACAATAAATTAAATAAGGGCTACAAGCCTGAGCTAGGTATTTAATGCTCCAATAAAATTACATCAAGTGATTAAAACAAAACAAGCGTTTTGACCTGTATTAGTCATTCTCAATGTTCAAATTAAATTCAAACGGTAAAATATAAAAATACAGTGTTAAAATTAGTTAAATACCATCTAAAGCATAATATTCAGGCGCAAATCTTCACGCATCGTGAGGTAGATTGAACGTACGGTCCGCCCAGATTTAAACCGGAGACAAAGGCGAATAAAGTCATTGTTGAAGCAATGTAACATTGTAAAAGCTAGATTCAAATTTTAGAAAATGACTAAATAAATATATAATTAAAAAAAATTGACACGTTATAATTAAAATTAAAATTAAATATCTAAATCCAGGAATCTGTATCATTCAAAGAATAGAATTAACATTTTTGTAGTCAGTGACCGTTTTGCATCTATGAGTCTTTAGATATGAACTTGAAATGATATGTAATGTCAACGTTTGTCAATTGATAGGACATCTATGAGTAGAACGGAAAAGGAAAAGAGGAAGAGGAATAATGAAAAAGAAGGAAAAAGGAGAAAGGTAAATATTGATAACAACGGATCCAGCCCCAATGATCTTGTCCTTCATGTATGTTGTCAAGGTCATGACCCTGAGTGACTATCAAGAGGTTTTAGCCGTCGCTCGTTATTCGTTAAAAAGTTATTAACAAAAAAAGTAACAAAAAAAATAATACCAATGGGGGGTTGGGGGGGG